ACTCTGATCTGATCTTGGTCTCAAACAAAGACGACTCTGGATTTTACTTTAAGTGTGGTCAAGACCACAACTGCAGGGATATCGCTAAATTGCCTGTGCAAAAAGGGAATGTTAAAGAAAAAATGGCTAAGCTGATTTCAGCTCCTTAGAGTTTGTTTGTATTTGCCCAAAGAAAAGAAATGAAAATTCCCATCTGGGGCGTCGGTAGCATAGTGGATAGTGCCAGTGCCCCATGTACAGAGGCGATGCTTCGCTGCAGCGGTCGCAGGTTCAACTCCGGCTTGCAACCCTTTGCTGCATGTCATCCCCCACTCTCTCTCTCACCCCATTTCAATCTGTCCTGTCCATTAAAGGCAAAAAGCCCCAAAAAATAATCTTAAAAATTCCCATCTGCAATACCCTTTGATTATTTTATCAAGACATTACTCACAGTACATTTATACATACACGCACATATATATAGTATGGCACCATAAAAGATGAGAGAGGGCTGAGGGCATTTAGTTTTCTTTTCTGTGGGTGTTTTCAGATCAATTTGAGGAGTGTTTATGGTTTACATTAGGGATGCACTGAATATTTGGTAACCTAATATATTCGGCCGAATATTGCAAAAAAACACACATTCGGTGGAATAAGTTAAAAGCAAGGCCGATTAATAGTGGCGTGTTTTGATAATGCAATCAAACAGCGTGCAGTGACGGGCGGAGTAAAATGTCGGCAGTGTGGCGATCCGCCCGTCACCGCACTCGCATTTGCGACTAAAAATAGTTTTGAGCAAGCAAAATAGGCTTAAATCATTCAGCACGCTGTGCGAGCAGCCTACAGATTTCAACCACCAGCAGAAACGAAAGGCGAATCCCATCGGTTGTGGGTTGAACGGGGGTCACAGACACAGACAGTAATGTATTCCTGTCAAATACGGCGGCCATCAGCTTACCGGCGACGGAGAAGTCGGCTCCAATAATATCCTCTTCTTGGTGTCATGACTGCCCAAAAGTACCTGAACAGCCGAGCCAGCCGAACACAGGTATGTGATGTGTCAGAGGAGAAACGAGCCGTTCACGGCCCACAAACCTCACCGCACTTTAGGCACTGTTCTTCACTTATGAAGGGACTTGTCAGGGGAGGAGGGTGGCTGGTTGATTCTTATTTGATTTATTTATTTTATTTTGATCCCCCCCTATGTTCATCACTCATTGATGCTGTTTTTGAAGTATGAATAAGTCAATAAGTAATTTATTCCATTGAAATATCATTGATGTATTATAGAAAAGTGATTTATCTTTTTATAAATGACAAAAGGCACATCTGCCTCATTTTCGCTGTGGTATCATGATACTACTCAGAACCATGATATTTTCATTGGTATCGTACAGTGGGTCCCAATATTGGTACCGTGACAACACTAATCTGGAGGGGGTTCATCTGCAAAAACTAATGAAAAACTAAACAACGATATTCGGTATTCGGTACTCAGTATTCAACCAAGCGTTTAATATTATTCGGCTTCGGCCACAAATTTTCATTTCGGTGCATCCCTAGTTTACATGCTCCACATTTTATCTGACGTGTGTCATTCAGTGTGGGACTCACACTGGTCTGGTCTTGGTCACAGTACAGTCCGGTCTTGGTTATAACTTGGTCTCTGTCTAGGCCGTCTTGACTACTTCACTGGCTGTCAGTTCAGACATCTGCAGATTACTCTGAGACTGTGCACCTGCAATGGACTACTCAAGGCAATTTGCTATTAAACAGCAGAGCCTCTTCTGAATGTTTTCATTTGAAGGTAACAGGAATGAAAGAAAAAGGAAAACATGCAATAAGCAGATTGAACTCCCACAGTTCATTTCTCTGTACAGTTTAAAGTGCTGGTCCTTCATGCAGTAATGTTTGTATTGAATATGATTGGAGAGCTCTTGCTGTAATTATGGTTACAGTAACAAACGTTATTGCCTCTTGAAACTATTAGGACAACATACACTGGGAGTGTATTTATAGCAGCCATGTATGGTTACTGTAAATTACATTTATATTGATTTTTATTTTATTTTTTTTTTTAATTTATTTGTTTATTTGAAGGGACAGAGCATATTAATAGACATTTCTGTAAATATGCCAGATTTAGCCAAAGGCTAATTTTCATCCGTTGTCCCTGGCCAGGTGTTACAAAGGCTCCAAAGTAGAACTACGTTGAGGGAACAAACATCAGTCTTATCTTAAAGCACCGATCAATAAACTACAACTAATTAAAATTGATTAGTGTGTGAACAACAAGTAATAATGACATTGCTAAAATTAACATACAATTGACAACAAGACAACATAAGACAGCCTTACAATTAATACAGAACACAAGGGACAAAACGAACTTCACAGCAAGCAAATAAACATGCAAGCAAGAAAGCAGTTAAAAACATGTATGCAAGACAATACGTAGTTAAGACATAAGCAAGCCAACCCTCCACGCAGCATGCTGGTTAGACATCAGTCAGAACCAGAGTGACTAGCCCAGAGTGCATACAAAACAACACTTATGCACGAACAGGGTACAACATAAAAGATATTTCACAATGGACAAGCCATACATAGAACAGGACATAGGGACCAAATAACCATCTGATATTAACAAGGTGGCAGCAGCTGTCAGAATTTTCAATGCTGACAAATTTGGTTACTAATTAGCCACTGTTTTAAATGAGATTTAAATATCACATATGTCCCGACATCCCTAATATGTGTTGGGATGTTGTTCCACTCTCGGGAGGCTTTAACAGAAAACGCTGACTGACTAAAGGAGCTTTTCTTTAGTGGAACAACACAGTCCCCTCTTGAGACCCCCCTTGTGATTTGATTTGTACTTGTTCTAATCTTAACAAAAGATCAGAGAAGAGGAGGAGCTAAGCCATGTATAATTTTGAACAGAAGACATATATTTACATACTTAATCATGTTTTCCCAATTCAGAAGGCCATATTTCTTTAGGATTGTACAGTGGTGGTGTTGTTTTGGCTTTTTATCTAAGATTTTTATCGTCTATTTATACAATAACTGCAGTGGCTTGAGTGCAGTGTAATTGGCTTGCGACCAGCTTGTTAGACAGTAATTCATGTGAGAAAGGATCATTGAGTGCATGTACAGCTTGGCTGCTTCAGTTGACATAGAGTTGCGTATGAATCTGAAATTTACAAGACTTGCTTTGACCCGTTGACATACTTTTTTAACCTGTGCCCTGAAATTAAGGTTGGAATCTAAAAAGATGCCAAGGTACTTGAATTCTTTTACCATCTGCAGTGGTGCAAAGGTAACTGTGACCTCACTACTGTCTCATTCTTGTGAACGTAATATCTCAAGAAGGCCTTGAAGGAATTTCCTTAAATTTGGCACAAACGTCCTCTTGGACTTGAGAAGGGACTGATTAGAATTGGTGGTCAAAGGTCACAGGGACTTTACATAACATGTTTTTGGACATAACTTAAGAATTCATACACTAGTTATGACAAAAGTTTATTTAAATGTCTAACAGGATAAAATGATGAAGTTATGACATTTCATATCCAAAAGGTCAAAGGTCAGCTTCACTCTGACATCATAATGTTCTGCAATAACACATTTCTGGCCATTAGAACAGAAGGGGAGACATTCGGTTGGATACTGAATTAATGACACTCATCTCAGGTGTTCATCTTGAAAATGTGGTGATTGTATAGATCTCAGAACAGCGGTTAACTGGTGGGTTGCGCAAGTGATTTTGAAACATGTCAAGTTTGTAAAAAAACATACTTTATTTTTAGGTACAGTGAATTTCTGGCATAGAGCTTTTACTTTGAAGTGCTGTTTCTTGCTGTAGAATGAGTGACTAACAGACCGCTACTTTACAGAAACAGTAAACTATTCCTACAACATGGCCAAACGCAAGTATGATGCTAATTTATCAAACTGTGTGGACCATGAACTAATGACGGAGGAGAAATCTGGACCCCGAGGCTGGACCAATTGGGAACCACTGTTCTAGAATATGTAGCTTCTTCGCAGCAACATTCATATTTGAAGCATTGTCAACTGGCATGGCTATATGAGTCTGTTCAAACATGGATGTAAATTATAACTGCAACTTGGCTGGTTTGTAGAGGCACACAATCATGAGGCAGTAATTCTAGTCTCATCTGTCTCTAAAGAAAACAGCAAAATTCAGAATTTCCTAAATTTCCCAAGTATTCCCTCAGATGAAAAAAAAAACCTCACGACACAGTCTAACAGGCTTGTTGAGGAACCAATGTAATGCATGCAAAGCAGTTTGCTGTACTCCTCTTACACCAAACAACTGCGACTACACCTATTTTATATATTGTCTACTTTTAATATAATCCTAGCCACATGATAACTCTAAAAAGGCCAAAGACAGGAAATTCAAATTATGAAATGTGACCTCAATTATCACTTTGCTGTCTGTCTAGCTATACAGGTTGTGAAATACAGAGGGTTCATTTTCAGTTCACACTCTTCCTCATAATTCATTTAACTGTGAAGCTGGATTGAGAAATTGAACTAGTGACATAAAGCTGAGAACAGAAATTCCTCTGTCTCTTTGCACAGAGCGGCAAAGTAGGAGCCAGGCTTAATTTCTCTTTGCAGGTTCACTCACTTCATGAAAAAAGGTTAATTTAGTCATGACACATTAGCTAGTATGTGTGTATCTAGCACTATCACTCACACAGTTTAAAATGTTTTGGTGTTTTAACTGTTCCATTCTAATCAATGTTACAACCATTTTACAACTCTTTCACAGGTTATCTAATTTAAATTGAATTTGAATGAAATAACCTGTAATCTCTCCTGGCGATAAATATCCTTGTGCAATCCAGTGGGTGCAAACTGTCTTGAAAAGACGCTTTGAAGTTGGGTTGTGGGAGCTTCACAACAGTTTTCTTATCATTCTCCATAAGATAATACCTGCTATTTTGTTATTACCTGGAAATATTGTAAAACATACACAAGCTTACCTTTCGATCTGTGTGTTCCCTGCATCATGCAACTCAGCGGTGATCATCCCTGTAACAAAGAAGAAGCTTATTAGCATTTTTATTGACAACAGGCATGCTGCATTGACCTCATCTGCAATGACGATCTATAAACACCTCTCAAACGTTGAAGCAGAACCCAACCAGTTTGTCAGTTAATGTACAGAGATGGTAGGTCTGTTGTTGACACTGTGTCTCTTAACTGCAACACACCCTGGCTGCATCACAATGTTGCGGGGCTTCACATGACACACAGTATGCACCAGATGCATCACACTGACAGAGGAAGCATTAGTTAAGTAACAGTAGCCAGCATGTGCTGATCCACTGAGTAAATATGATCACATTCCTGGCTTCCAAGAGAGTTACACAGCAGGGCATCCACGCCTTCTGACAAAATCTAATCCCACTGGTGTGTGGGCTTACACAGAAAACAATAGCGATGGGTGTTTTTATGCCGCCCGTTTGTGTTGCTTTTTAGTCTACTGAACATCTCAAAGTATCTTGAGGCCTGTGATTATGTTTTGTTCATTGGTTACAGGTGGGGAAGAAGATGACAGGTTCCTGGCAAATATGGGTGTAAACAATGCAAGTTTCAAAATATGCAACAAATTGGCTTTACAAATGTTTTATGGGGAAATGAATGCAATCGACGTGATTGTTGGGTCTCAATGATACACATAATGTCTTTAATGTGAAACACTAAGTGAAAACATAAATACGTTTATTTACAAGAAAACTGTAATGAGTTCATTTAACACAGTTGTTACGCTAGGCCCCTTGCGCACCTTAGTGAGTGTGGCTGTTGTCCTCTCTACCTGTCTCTCTATATGAGTGCAGCACCTGAGAGTAATTGTGAGGAGAGGATAAAAAGAAGCTGAGGGGCAGAGTGTGGGAGACACACTGAGACACACAGCGACACATGCCCGCAGCAGCACAGGAGTAGTAGGGGACGGGTTTTCTTCCCATTTGTTCGCAGCATGAATTAGATCGTTGGGCTTTGTTATTTTAGTTTGACGTTTCAGTTTAGTTTCTGGTAGTTCTGTTTTTGGATTTTGTTTAAGTTCAGTTTACGTAGTTAGGGGGATGAGCTGGGTCTGACGGCCCACTGCATGGTTGGCATGGCGACTTCCCCCCATCTTTTGTTTCTTTTGGCCAAAATCTCCAAACCGTTTTGTTTCATCCTTTGAGCTGAAAGTACTGTTTCATTCTTGTTAATAACAAAACTTTGTTTGCCTTTTTCCCCCTGCAAAGTAAAGCTCAAAGTAATCAACGCTGACTTTTGGTGTCACAAGAGACACAAACCCCACTCTCCTGGGTGAAAGTCCATCAACCCATCCATCACCTTTCTTTTTTGCTCACATAATTATCGTTACGGCCACAAGTGGTCGCCACCTAACAATAAACGTAAATGGCCATTGTAGGTCAAGGTGGGCCCCTTTTACCCCTCTCTATGGCACTTATATCCACTGATAAGAGCTATTCAATGGCCTGACAACCCTGATCCCAACTTTATAGCAACAGCTTCGGGGAGGGAAATTTTCTGTTTCAATACAACACTGTACCCCTGAACCAGAGCCAGATCCATAAGGAAATTGTGCAGTTTGATGTGCAAGAAATTGAGTAGCCTGCACAGAGCCCTGACCTCAATCCCATCTAATATGTTTGGAATGAACTAGAGAGGCAACTGCCAATCAGGCCCTCTCAACATTAGTGCTAGACCTCACTAAAGTTTGTGTGGCTGAATGTGAGCAAAGCCCTGCAGCAGTCTTGAGTGGTATCACGATATTACAGTATACCAGGGTCTAAAAAACCTAACAATATGAGTTTCAATACTGTCAAAAATACAGACGCTTATCATACTGTATGTAGTGCACATCACACGCCACCAGAGGTCAGACTGGTTGAACAGGCAGCTGAGTTGACTGGAAGTGACGGAGATGTGAATTTGCGTTTCCCAGGATAGCGAAGGAATGACCCACCCTACTGTACCTTTCTCTGCCTCTGACTGGCTTACCCTGACATTCTTACCCTAACCAAGCCCACACCAAACCTAACCAATCCAACCAACAAAGGCAACAAGTACTATCCAATCAGGGGGAGAGTAAGGTGGGTCATGCCCTCACTATCCTGGGAAACGCAGATTTACGAGGGGATAACAGTTAAGAGGACTGTAAACAGCTGGTCCGCAAAACAGGAGACCGCTAGGAAATTAAGGGTTTATTTCAACCAAACCATGGCTCATGATTGTTGGACCAGTGGACTAACAAACTAAATGACTAACGAGAGTAACCAAGGCAGTTTTATTTTGTTTCTGTAGCATGAATGAAGTGTGTTTTACGATAAGTTAACAAAGTAATTAAGCTAGACTTCGTTCGGTAAACAAGAGAAACAAGAGTTCAGAAAGCGTATGGTAGTATTTCTCTGTTTTATAAGAAAAAAGGTGTAAGAAAGTTACCTCTCTTGACATTTTGTGAGTTTTTGTGTTTATTTTTTGGACTGAAAATGCCAAAAAAGCTTGTCGATCTCTCACAAACCATATGAAGTTCCGGGATGGTATGCAGCCATGTTAACAAATCTGGTGGAAATCACGAGTGGAAGCTGTTAAAGCAATATATTAATGTTCCTGGATTTGGAAGTGAACGCTCAACAATCACATATGGGTGCAATGTCCAGGTGTCCACATAAGTTTTGACTATGTACTGTTCTTAATTTTGTCAATGGCAACAATGGTGAACCTTGTCTTTTAAGTTATAAAACACTTCGGTCCTGTGCCATGTCTTATGGTTGCATATTTCTGTTTATATAAGCACCACACAACCAATTCCCAGCAATGTTTTATGCAGCAACAAATTATTGAATCTTCCATCTGAAGGAGGACTTTATAATTCTCTACATTACATCTGAGTAAATTGTAAATATCTGTTTTTGCCATCCTGATCTCTCTCAGTACACTTCAAATCTTCTTTGAAGGCCTGGCAGAGCCCGGCAAGCTTCTCATTGACAGTCAGGGCAGCTGCGTCTGAGCACATCTCACCGGCAAGCTCAGCAATGCACAGATGGCATCAAATATACTGCTTAAAGTCATCATTCACTTTAATGTTGCAGCTGCATGGCCAGGGGAAGGCTGCAGCTCTTCTTCTTTCTGTCTTTCTCTGGACACTAAAAAGTTACCTGTGTCCCCCCACTGACTCACAACAACCTGCTCTGTATTCCTGACTGAGGGTGAAGGGCAGGAACACTCCCCCTCACCTGCAAACTGAACAAAGGAATGTAGACTTTATACTACGCAACTATAAGCCCACTACATGGTCAGCAGAAATAACAATGTATCCACCAAGAGCTGTCATGCCCTTTTTAGATTCTCACAATGGCCGTTCTCAGAGAAAAACTTTTTCTTTTGTCTGAACACAGCACTTATTCAGTCTTTTATTCTGCAGTCTTGGGAGATTTTTGCTAGCATGAAAAAATGACATTCTCACCGCTATACCTTTAGAAAAATGGATATATTATCTCAAAGTAAAATACTTCAGCTTGATTTGACTTTTGTCCTCACATCACTTCCTTTGTTAAGGAAAAATGTAGTGTGCACTTTGATACAATGCCTTGTGAGAGGTATGGCTGTCGTATGAAGGTGTGATATTAGCAAGATGGGTGACTCACAGATAATCCACACTATGAAGTGATGATTCATCTGGATGTGGGGGCTTTAAGAGGAGAGAGAAGGCGTGCACGTCCCCACAGGATTTTAAATAAGATTTGACTTCACTACTTCCTAATCACTCACTGTCTGCAACTGCAAACTCCAAATGAAATAACACAATTGAACCAAGAGATGAATCTAAAATAAAATCCTTTGAAGAATATCTGTTTCACACTCGCACATCGGGGGAATATTAATATCCCATCTGGGAGGAAATTCACACTGAGCCTTATGTATGTTCCTGTTACCTTACATCATCAAGTTCCCTCTAACCAGTCAGTTTGTTTGAAAAATACAGATATGCATTGTATTCTATTGTATATTTTGGCAGAGCAGTTTCATCTGCTGATGCCATGACAGTGACCCCCTTCGTATATCTTATCCAGGAAAATTTATTTCAAGCACCCCAGTCTCTGACTTTCCTTTAACAGGTTCACAATTAACAACTGCTGCAGCCCAGGAAGTAGAGTCTCCCAATCAGAGTGTCTGTGGTTCAATCCCTGGCTGTTAGAGTCTACATGTTGAAGTGTCCTTGGGCAAAAAATTCAAGAAATGGTGGGAGCAATCTGAGGTTCTGCCTCAGATTGCTCCCACCATTTCTTGAATGTTTATCTGTCGATGTTAGCCTCAGCCACCAGTGTTTGAATGTATGTGTGAGTGGTACTTGTATTGTTAAGAGCTTTGAATGGTCGTTAAGACAAGAAAAGGGCTATGTAAGGGCAGTTAATCCATTTATTATGCAATCTAGTTTAAAAGCTGTGCGATAATAGACAAAAGAGTAGTTCAAATTCAGTTAAAAAATTCCTTTGACCTCCAACTCTGGTAATTCATGTTATCTGGCTGTGATTATTATAATTCTAATTTATGTATCATGTCTTAGGCCTAATTCTAAAGTGGAGCTGCTCTAAGCAGTTTCCTTCAGCTCTACAGAGCATTTTAACCTATTCAGCACATCTGAGTCTCAATCTGCTAACAAATTGGTGTCATTCTTAGCCACGCCGAGTAAAGCCATGCCACACCGATTTGCGTTTCCATTGTCAGTTTAGACGTGCTGTGCCAAGCCAAGCCGCACCATAGATGGACCTTCTCAGGAGTAGGTCCAAAAGCTGGGCCGCATGCCTCACGAAAGGCGTGTTTAAATGTCTCTGTGTGTTCTGCTCTCAATGCTTTTGTAGCTTCTAACTGAATCTCTGTGGTTTGGAGTTTAGTTTCTCTCCTGCGTCCTGTTTTTACTCCTGCTTTATTTTCCAGTTTCCTCCAACATTTCCTTATTTTGCTGCTTCACAATAAAAGTTTTTACATAACAAAATAAAGGGGGACTTTTATTG